CCTTTGCCGATGGTTGTGTCTGGTGACGAAGAGACGTTTGTTTGGCTATAAATACCCCTTTGGTCATTAGCAATTTGCACCATTCAGAATTTTTTTTACAGATTTCTAAATCTTCTCTCCCTTTTTCTTCTTTGCATACATATACTATTTATAGTTCTAGTGTGCGAGTGAGTTCAGTTTAAAAGAGCGAGTATTACACTGAGCCGGTTCACCCATTTCTCATGTTAAGAAAGAAAAGTCGTTGTATCCTGAGAGACAGATGCTACTGAGTCCGTCAGCACTATAGCGGAGCGAATCTATCTTAAGAAAATAAAATCAAATTCATATTGTTTATATGTATATATATATATTTGCATTTTTATTATTATACTACTAAATAATTATATTAGTTTAGTATAATATTTTAAACCATTATCATAATATTATATATATTATTATTTAATAACAATAAACATATATAATATAATTTTCATAATATTTAAATAGTGATATTATAATATATGATACACATACACTTTTGAACAACATAATTTAATACATTTCTTAATTATTAATAATTAGAGTGAAAGGCAGCTCTATTAATCCAGGCTTTTAAGAAATAATCATAATAAAATATTAGTAGTCTCCTCTAATAAAATGTTGGAAGAGAAAATGTGTGTATATATATATTTTGACATGATCTTAGGCAGTTTATTCTTATTCAAGCCTTTAATATTTTATACTGGGTCCCACTGGTAAAATCTTTATTGCCAATTGTTATTTTGATCATATAACTCTCATTTTCTTTCTCTATCTTATGATAGTAATAAAGGAAGTAGTCATCCCTCAATGATTTTAACCCATTTAAGAGAATTATTTGAAGGTATGGCAATAAAATGTTGGGGTCCACCTTTTCCCAAATTTTTAAGGGTACTTGGATGCGAGAGTCCTCTTTGCCCTCCCATCATTTCTTTTTCATTTATTTCAACTTAAATGTTCTTTTGCCTCAGCAAACCTAACTTTTTGTACAAGGGTCACACTGCCCTAAATTTGAGGTTTGTAATATTAATGATAGTGGGGTCCACTGATATTATATATACTTGAAAGATGATTTCTCATTCCCCCTCATTATCCTCATAGTGCCCTCAAGGGATGGCCCACCAGAGTCCCACAATGACTTCATCTATTCACTATTTATTCAAAGCTAAAGTCACACAACTAAAAAGCAACACCATTCATGACAAATCATTATCATCGCTGTCAAATGATACGTAGTAAATAAACTGAATAAATTTGCTTTTACTTGTATAATAGACTTTTACTGTTTACATGTTAGGCTTTTACCGTTTTACTTGTAAAAAGTCACTTTTTAATAGTGAATAAACGAGTTTTGGAATAGAGTATAATAAACATTGAAAGGTCTGATGTATAATTTGTTTAAATTTCAATAAACAACGGTGTATATATATATATGTTTTTGAGTAGTTTTCGTGCCAGGCTACACTGATGATGTGACATTTCATTTAATTGATATATACCATTTACTACTCATGACAGTAACTCATAAAACCACTGGTATTAGTTGGCCATAACTCATACATAAGTCTTTGTATATGATGTGGCCTTTGAGAAATTTTAAAGCTAATTAATAAATTGATTTTAAAAGAAAAGTAGTTAGAAGTTTTGAATTAATAGACTACAATTACCGTTACCTATTTCACTTGCAAATCAATATCTTATCTTACATGTGACAGAGACAAACAAATTAAACCTAACAAAAATAAAATGCAATATTTCATACTGAAAAATAAATACAAATATTTAAAGCAAATGTCTCTGATGTGGCGCCTTCAGAATATTTAAAACTAATTATTAGTTAATTTTACCTGATTAGACAAACAGATTGAACCCTAAATGTAAATAAAATGAAAATTTTCGTACTAAAACATAAAACAAATACAAGTATGAAGACTTGAACCAAAGTTGAGTTAGAATATTTAAATTTAATTATTAATTACTTTTAATAGAATAAAATTCCTCACCGCTATCATGCTTTAGCGTTTTATCTCATTTGCATTTTCTTTTGTATGTGACAAGACAAATAGATTAAACTGAATGAAAATAAAATGCAAATTTTCATACTAAGATGAAGAACAAATGCAAATACAAAGGCTTGAAACAAAGTTGTGCTAAAATATTTAAATCTAATTATTAATTGCTTATAATAGAAAAGTAAATAGTATAAGCTTGAGTAGTTTCTCGTTCAAAGTATCAATTATTTTTCAAAAACATGTGTACTATAATGATGATTAAGACAGCTAATAGTGTTCTTGAAAAATATATGGAATCTTTCTCAGATATGGGCCATGGTTTCATTTATCGGATAATAACCTTTTATCCACCAACATGATAAGGATAGATTTCAGAGTAGGTTACTAATAATTCTATTATATTACATTCCACATTTGAAAGTAAAGTTGTAAAATCAATGTAAAAACTTTTTGTAATTCGTTACATGTTCCGAGTTATTCTTGGACACATAAGTAAATGCGTTAAAAATGTGTAATTTATTTTTTTGCTTAATATCTAATATTGATTGGCCAAAACTGCTGGATCGTCTAAAAATTTCTTAGTCATCCCATGTGATTTTTATTTGTCTTTTATATAATGTGTAGGGATGTTCAAAAAATTCGGTAAATCGAAAAATCGAATCGGATCGGATTGAATAGGGCAGTTTGGGCTAATTGTATAACGGTTTGGTCCGGTCTTGGGTTCAAAATTATGAAATCATAATTTTGTTGTCCGGTCTTGATTTAGAGTCCTACTGAACTAGACCGACTCGGATTGAACCATTACTATGTTATATATATATATATATATATATATATATTCTAAACTTAAATCAAGGAAAGTTTTCACTCTCACTTGCCACCCCTTTTTCTTTTTCTTTTTTGTTCTTTAAATTCTTTAAATTTCTTTTTAAAAAGTCAAATTTCATTTTTCAAATATATCTAAATTTTCTTTCCTTTCAAATATATCTAAATTTCTTTCCTTTATTCTTCTTAAAATTCTTCTTTTTGTGTGTTATATCAATGTTAGTTGATTTTTTTATTTTTTTTAACTAATCCCCCTCTGAATTACAATAAAATAAAAAAGAAATCAATTGAAACCGACAAACTGAACCGAACCAAACCAGTTTTTCTCAATTTGGATTGGTTTGGTTCCATCGGCATTATGGTTTGGTCTGGTTTCAAAAATAGTGGAACCGTTATAAATGATTTGGTCCCAAAAAACTCCCAATCCGGTCCAAACTGGACCGTGTGCACCCCTAATTATATGCGCTCCTTGTTTCATTAATTTTGGAGAATATTATTATGTGGCCCGGGCCAATTAACGCTTGACGTACTAACAAAAAGCTAAATAAAACTCAAAACCATTCTAACGTATTTATTAATGTGTCAATTGTTGATTGGCCCGGAACCAATAGACTAGGACATATAATAATTTCTCTTAATTTTGGCCTTCTTTGGATTTGATGAGTTCTTCATTATTGCAACAAGCCGCCAACTAACTCTTGGGGCTTGTATTACCCATTTCAAAACTGAGAAAATATACAATGTGCCAAGTACACCGGGCACATCATAACTGTTATTGTACTGGCACACATGTTTAGTGACGAACCCAAAAAATTTTGTGAGAGAGGGCGACCTTTTAATTTGTGGAACAAACTTAAATAGTGGGTTTATTTTTGTAATTTCAATGGTTTTTTTTTTTCTTCGTAATTTTAAAAAATTTAAAGTATAAAATGCCAAAAAAAAAAAAAAAAAAATCAATTGAGCGAATTGTAATTTTAGTGGGGCATCTTCATAAATTTCAAAAATTTGAAATATAAAATGCAAAAAAAAAAAAAGAATCCAATGAAGGCGAATTATAAGGATAATGTTTCAGTCTTGTCCCATCAAAACAAATTGTGTCTTACATAATAACGTGTCCCAATAAGAGATTGATATATTTTTTAAACTTAAAAAAATATAAAAGAGGTGTCAACCTGTCCCACGTCACAGAGGACTGGCCTCAAACTGTCCCAAGTCATAGAGGACGGGTAATGTCCAAACATATTTCCACTACCAAAATTTGCCAAAACAGACTTTTATGGGCAAAAAGGCCATCAGGTCGCTAAATTTATTTCATATTCAAGACAGCCTGTCTTGTTATGTACAGTTCAATCACAATTCCCAAGGCCAATCACTTTTGATTCCTATTTTGCTCTTCAATTGGATTTATTTTCATTAATCAAGCTACCATTTAAGTTTTTTAATACTACAGTACAATTCAAAACAATCATAAACCAGTGGACCATTAACCCACTTGGCATGTTTGGACATTTGTCGGTTTGGGTGAGTATTTATCTAATAAAGGTAAATAATAGTAGTAAATTTTTAAATAATTCCCTTAACTTAGGAATCTCAAGTTAATTTTATATTATTTTGCAGTTTTCTTCAAACCGTGCATCTTATTGTTTCTAGAACTTCTAAGAGAAACTTAAAAGACCATAGTCTATTGGTATTTATTTCAAAAAAGAAAGAAACTCCATATGAAATTGAAAATGTGTTTTTTGAGTTGCATATTCTCGAGGGAAAAAAAAAGACAGATTTCTAAGAAAGCATCCACTTGTACATGCAAGAAAAATGTGGATATCTTATGAGGAAGTTCCAGTTCAACAACTCAAATGAATGTTTGGTTCAAATTAGATTGTTTTTAGCAAAACAATCAGAAACAGCCAGAGCAACCAAAAAAGTTGAACATGTTGTATTGTGGGTCATTCAGGACAATAATTGGACCATCTTGCTACCAGTGAAACCATTATTGATAAAAAGCAGATTAAAACCCAATTGTGCAATTAGAATCCAAATCATGGTCAATTTGGGGAATAATTAACATCAACGGTCAAAATAACAGATTCTTGCTGTGTCTTCTCTTTGACCACCGTATCTTCACTACTCAATTTACTACTCATTGTTATACATATATATAGAGAGAGAGAGACTGTACTATGAGGGAAGATTCACTCCATCCAATGAAAAACACCATGTGGAAGAGCTAAATGCATTTAGCTTCAGGCATCCCAATTTCCCAAATCCTAAGGACTTCATAGCAAAGACTTTCCCACCATGTGGAAGCTCTAAAAACACCATGTGGAAACATTAACCAAGCCTTTCCTTCATGGGTCATGCCCAAACTTGCTTATTTCTACTACAGACTTCACCAAATGCCATAGTGTTCTGCTTCTACTGCTGTTTCATGGGGGTCTGTTAAAATTCTCCACATTTCTTTCAAAAACTGTCATAATCTGACTTCTTTCTCTTGTTGGGGTTTTTTTTTTCTTCTTCTGAGTTATCTTGTTTAACAACCCTTGTCTACTTCTTGTTTGATCTCTCTTGTAAAGTCTCATTTTTGCACATACTCTCTCTTTCACTTCAATAAATATTCACAAGGACAGTATGGGATGGTGGTCTAGCTTGTTTGTCCAACTCTGTGTTTCATGGACTTTCTTTTTCTTGGGTACCCATCAATTACAATCCTCACATTCACAAGTACTTCTTCAGCTAAAGAAGCAATTGGAGTACCCAAAGCAATTGGAGATTTGGCAAAACAGAAGCACAGATTTCTGCAGCTTGTCAACACTACAAGTGAACATCACATGCCAGGACAACTTTGTCACTGAGCTCAGAATAGTGGGTGATAAGACAGCCAAGGTAAGCAACTTTAATGGCTTTGCAGTTCCATATCAAACTCTGTCACAGAACTTCTCTATGGATTCTTTTGTAACTACCTTAGCCAGGCTTACAAGCTTGAGAGTTGTTAGTCTGGTGTCTATGGGCATTTGGGGTCCACTTCCAGACAAAATCCATAGATTGTATTCACTCGAGTATTTGGATTTGAGCGCAAACTATCTGTTTGGTTTAATTCCTCTTAAGATATCTAGAATGGTGATGCTTCAAACTGTTATACTGGATGGCAATTTCTTCAATGGTACAATCCCTGATTCCTTGAACTCATTGTCAAATCTGACAAATTTGAGCTTGCGGAACAACAGGTTGATTGGGCCATTACCATCTTCAATACAGAGAATTGCCACTCTGACTGATCTTGCTCTGTCAAACAATGAAATCTCTGGCAAGTTACCAGATCTAAGTAGCTTAACTAGCCTACATGTGTTGGATTTGAGTGGTAACAAGTTAGATTCTGAACTACCCAGTATGCCCAAAGGTCTAGTCATGGCATTCCTCAGCAACAACTCCTTCTCTGGCACAATCCCGCGGAAATATAGCCAATTGAATCAGCTTCAACACCTTGATCTGTCTTTCAATTCTCTTAGAGGGACACCTCCAGCTGAACTTTTCTCATTGCCCAACATCAGCTATTTAAATTTGGGATCAAATATGTTGAGTGGATCGCTTCCAATCCATTTGAGCTGTGGCAGTGAACTTGGCTTAGTTGATGTATCTAATAACAGGCTAAGGGGTTGGTTGCCTTCTTGTTTGAGCAGTGAATCAGATAAAAGAGTAGTCAAGTATGGTGGAAATTGCTTGTCGATTGATACAAGCCATCAGAATCCCGAGTCATATTGTGTGGAAGAAGCTGACATGAAGATGAAAGAATCTGGAGGAAAGAATTTAGGGATATTAGTCAGCATCATTGGAGGAGTAGCTGTTGTTATAGTGCTTCTGGCTTTCGGATTTATTGTTCTGTGTAGAAGATATTACGCTCGAGGGACATCAGAACAACATTTATTGCACAAGTCAGTACAAGATAACTCAGTCACAGGGTTCTCCTCTGAGCTCCTAACCAATGCAAGTAGGTCCAATTGTGAGATCATATTGAAACTTTTTTTTTCATATATCTTTTAGTTCAAATGTTGCTCACATGACAATCTTAGTTTGATATTCTTTTAAAAAATGGTGATTACCCCAATAGCTTGTAAATGTAATTCCTAGCATTTGATGAGCATCTATGTTGATTCCTAATCTTTTCTTCAGGGTATATTGCTGAAGCAACAAAGTTAGGCACACAAGGTGTCCCAGTCCATCAGTCTTTCTCTTTAGAAGAGTTAAAGGCCGCTACGAAAGACTTCAATAATTCTACTTTCATGGGTGAAGGTTCATATGGGAAGGTACCATCTAAAATATAATGTGCTATAGAGCTTTAAACTATGTTGGTGAAGTCATAATGGTCACAGTAGTGATTCATTTATATGTGACCTTTAGCTATTTAGTACTAAGAGAGTAGAATTATTGAACATGGGAATGCAATATAGGTCCTCACAGAGAATCCTCATTTTAAATGGTGAACCAGTACTAAGAGAGTCAAATTATTTAGTCTGTACGCATCTGCAATGCCTTAGGTAACTCTTTGTCTGCTGAGTGGCGTGCCATGCCGCTTCTGCAATGGCACAAAACTAAAAATTATATAATGGCACAAGCCTGCATGTAGGGACATTTAATGATCTTTAATTGATAACTCTAGAATAACATCTCCTTTGCAGGCTAAGATGCAATATTAACCGAGCGCCTTTCTATCATTGTGGATGAATATTATAGTAACTCAAATGCTTAAGTTCGTAGTTACATTTAACTGTACTTCTATTAACTCTCTCACCTTTGTTTTCCCAGCTTTATAAAGGAAGACTAGAGAATGGGACCCTAGTAGCCATAAGGTGCCTGATTGTGTCAAAGAAATATACAATCCGGAATCTTAAACTCAGGTTGGATTTGCTTGCAAAGCTTCGGCACCATCATCTGGTTTGCCTTTTGGGGCACTGTATTCATGGTGGCGGACGAGATGATGTTATTGGAAACAAAGTCTATCTTGTATATGAGTATGTGTCAAATGGCAACTATCATACTCATCTTACTGGTATGTCGCAAATATCAACTAAGCATTTTTTTTAAAGGTCATTGGAAGCATAGATCATATGGATCCAACCAACCATCAAAATACAGAATATCCACACACAAGGTTCAAAAACAAATGGTCCTCTGATTTTACTGCTATCAAATACCACAATTTCCATTAAACACTTGTTAGTTTTGAAAGGGTCCCATTCAACTTTTCGTTTCTTTCCTTGCCAGACCATATCTCTAAATACAAAGATTATTGGTTTGGGTGCACAATAGACCCTGTGAGTTTGGATTTCTGTCGCTAGGCCTTCCCCTGTTTGGCTTTAAAGCTTTTGAAATGTGTTCTGAACCCTATTCTATTTTTCTTCCTTTTTTGGTAATAAAATTTACTTACCAAAGCCAAAAAATATGAGTCCTGGAATGAGTTCACTTTGATCCAAATAAAAATAGGCTTTCTTTAGATACTGTCGTATCTTTGCATAAAAAGATACAAGTACTCGGAGATATTATAAATTGAATTTGATGCCATACCACTAACCTAACATAATTCAGTATAATTTGTATGTTGGACTCATTCTAACTATAATCCTGCACATTACCTACATAGGAGATGATCCAGAAAAGGTTCTCAAATGGTCAGATAGATTGACCATTCTTATTGGTGTTGCCAAGGCTGTGCACTTTCTACATACTGGAATTATTCCTGGTTTCTTCAACAATCGATTGAAAGCAAGTAATATATTGCTGACTGAGCATCGGATGGCAAAGCTCAGCGACTACGGATTCTCCATTATAACAGAAGAAACTGACAATTATGAGGTATGCATCTCTTATTGAAAATGTCGATTTTGATAATAACGCTTTGGGCCCCTAAACAGTTAACCTGTCTTCTTGGTTTGTAGGAAAACGAAGAAGGCCTTAAATCATGGTAATGACATTTTCTTATCAACTTCTATACTGTAGAAAGAGCGAATATTTGAATATTCCATTTAAAAATAAATAAAAATAAGATATGATGAATTTTCAGTTTTGGTTGAAGTAGCTTTGAACCAAGTTTATATTTTTACCTAAAGTTGAGTGCACTAGTTATTCGCATACAATTTAACATCGATTACCCATATTTTCAGGCAAATGAAATGTCTTGAAGATGATGTTTACAGTTTTGGATTCATATTACTCGAGTCACTGATGGGGCCCTCTGTATCTGCAAGAAGGGAGGCAATTCTGCTAAATGAAATGGTATTTACCGGATCTGATTTAAATGTGGATAACATATACTGCATACATAACTGACGGTTCTCGCCCTAATCTCACAAGCTACTTCTGAACAAAATCAGCTAATTCTAACACATGCTTGGTTTATACCTGCTGACAATAAGTACACAACCTCTCTGTTTTTACGGAAATGCTACTGCAGCAAGCTCATAATGGTTTTGTTGTCTTACTATCCCAACTCCCACAAACCAAGGCTACATTGTCATTCATAGTTCTACCCCCTTATAATATATCAGTATCCGTTATCAATCGTTGGTGATTTTCAAAGAGAATGAAAAAACTATCATCCGTGATTCAGTTATCTATTGCTTTTCAATCGGTTTATACTTGCTGATAATTGATATTACAAATACTGAATCTAGGTTTGACATTTCACAGGGCTCTTTCGGCAGCCAAGATGGTCAGGCAAAGACAGTGGATCCAATTGTACTCACCACTAGTTCACAAGAATCTATATCGATTGTTCTCTCCATAACAAACAAGTGCATTTCTCCTGATTCGTCAACTCGTCCATCCTTTGAGGATGTCCTTTGGAACTTGCAGTATGCAGCTCAAGTCCAGGCAACAGCAGACGGTGACCAAAAATCTGAGACAATGTTACATTCATGAACTGATTTGCTGTGGAGCAGTTTCATTACACTGCCATTTCATCTCCAATGTCACTGAAACATTCTATACAATTTGGCAGGTATAGCATGCCTTAAGAGGCACTGTAAACACAAGAATGTGCAATGCTTATCATTACACAGTGTCACTGAATTGTAATATATGTGTTTATGTATGCATTACTTACAGCTAAGTGCTAAGTAAAGATCAAAGTGTCACTGGACAAATTGGTACATCTTGTTAAATGAGATTTTATTCCACTCGACTTCATTTAACAATATCCACTAAGATCTAAAACTATTTAACAATTTAATCTGGCCTATTTTTTTTTGTACTTCTTGCTGATCACTGCAATATTACTTGGTTTAGTGTTGCCCTAAATGTTAGATGATGCCAATATGCGAGATGACCTATTCCTCAATATGTGCTTGTGTGGAACAAAGAGTTCTTTACGTGAGTTTAACTTGAAATGTGTTTAGAGAAGTGAATGTAAGTTTAGGGATACTACGTACGGAAGTGTTTTTGACATTATAAGTAGAATTGAAGGGTTGGTTGGTTTGTTTGATTGTTTGATATTTTTTTATTTTTTATTTTTTTTTCACAAAGTAGAATCGAAGTTGACTTGTTAAAAGTCTTGTTTTGAATGTTGAATTTGAAAAGCTTTGATTTGAAAAGAAAAGTTAGCATTCGAACCGTGAATTTATTAGTTGTCACTGGTGTCGACTGCCTAAACTCAAGTCCAATTAGGGTAGGGCTTATTGATGTGCTAGAAGTTGGTATACGTATGAACACTCGAATGTCTTTGATGATACGAATGTAGTAAAACCTAAGAGCTTGAGTGTCACTTGACTTGATGAATTAAAAAATGTACGTAACTTGTAAGTAAGCTACATTTTGAATTGAATGGAAGTTGAACTTATGGCATGCCCCAAAATTCAATCATGCATCCGATCATATCATCATAGTTTACAGTATCATATTTGGATATTGGGGGAGCTGAAATTAAAAAAATAAGAAAAGAAAAGAAAAGAATAAAAAAGAGAGTAATAATCCGTCATTATATTTGGACAAAGATAAAATGAAAGTATTTTTTATTATTTAGAGGGAGATGATATTATTGACGACTGTAATACACCGACTTAAAATCGACATAAAAATATAATGTATCAACTTAAATAACTATTATTACTATTTTTTGTTTGTTTTCATAAAATACTTCAATTCCTCTTTCCTTATCTTTTCAATTTTTCATAACTGTATCATTTACTTTTTCGTTTTCACAACAACCTTTATGATACTCAAATATAAGAATTTGATTTGTACAAAATTTAGAACAAAAATTACAATGTTTTACAATTTGTCAATGCTTTGGAATTTTTCTTTAAATTCCTTTTTTTATTTTTGTTTTTGCGAGTCACATAGATCATTAATTTTGATCATTATAGCAATGGACAAATACCTATCAAAATAATATGTAGATATTAATGATCAAAGATACAATCTTTTATATAAAACGACGTAAGTATCTCAGAGCATCTCCTGTTATGTGTGTGTGTGTATATATATATATATATATATATATATATATTTTAGTGTAAATCTGATATGTCATAATAAATTTACACATAAATTTTGGATTATTTATTTTTAGCTCCAACGTTATTTTATACATTTTGTGTAAAAATATATCTCGTAATAACAATCAACCAGTATCTGAATCCACAAACTTACTTAATATATCTTTTTTTACAAACTTACTTAATATATGGTTGATTTACTTAATATTCATTTTTACAAACCTATTTAATATATGATTGATTTATTAATAGAATGAGAAATATGGAAGAAAAAGAAAATATGTGGATGTGGTTGTATAAAAAGGTTAAGTAAAATATATAATAATTTTATACATTGTAACATTGTATTTTAACAAAATGTTAAATATAAAAAAAAAATAAAAAATAAAATAAAATTACATATCGTGACAATGTATATTTTATAAAGAATATTTTAAGAGAATGCTATCAACGGGTCATTTAGAGATGCAATATAATATATGGAAAATGATAGGATCACCGAATGATTTTCCCGAATAAATCCTCAATCTGACGTGTTTTTTGCCCACCTTACCTATTTAAACAGTTTCCAAAAAAATATTATTTAACACGTGATAAGTGTAGCCAATTACATTAAATTGGGGACTTATTCGAGGATTCTTTTTTAGTTCCCCTATCATTACTCATAATATATATATAATTTGACATACATATTAATTAAAACTTTTAATCCCTAGTACTATATTAAGATTTTGAAACACTACTACCACTACTTTTTTTTTTTTTTTAATAATTTAGAACTCCTCACGAAGGAGTTCTTGCGGACCCCAACATGTGACACCAAATTGAAAGTGTAAGGCTGCCCCTCCATACACCAGTAAGTCAAGAGAATCTTAGCAATGGAAAGGCTTGAACCTGGGCCGGGTGATGAACAAGCCACACCTTACCATCACTGCTAGGCTCGGGGGCACTAGTACCACTACTCTTGTTTATTTGCCAAACTGCTTTTCAAGTTTAATTCTCGACCTCTCTTTCTTAGCCTCTTCGCAAACTCTGCATTTTTGTCCTCGAAACCATGTTTTATCTCATCCTTCTCAATCTTTCTGAGTTGTTCTTGATACAAGCGATTTTGTGATCAACGCACATCCCACTTATTTTCATCGTAATTCGCTAGAGGTCCAAACAGATGATCAGAGAGGGTTAGGGTTTGAGAGGGTTTCAGAGAGGGTTAGGGTTTGAGAGTATTGGGATTGTGATGGGTATGACGATGGTTCAATTTCTGATATTTTTGGCGGGAATTGGGGTGTGTATCTATTTTGGGTCGAATCACTGACCATACAGTCCCAGCTGGTGAAGCTTTAAAGTTCCGCGTTTGTCTTGTTCGTTCCGAGAAGTGAGTAATTTGTTTCCCATTCCATTTGCAGAATTGTGTTTTTCATTCTTCTATATTGTGGTGATAATTTACTCATGGTATGTTTGACTTGAAGCAGTGAAGAAATCAAGGGAGATGATCTCGTTGTTGGCCTGAAGTTGATCACAAAATCGCTTGTATCAAGCAACAACTCATGAAGATTGAGAAGGATGAGATAAAACATGGTTTCAAGGACAAAAATGCAGAGTTGTGTGAATGAGGCTAAGAAAGATGGGTTGAGAATTAAGCTTGAAAAGCAGTTGGGCAAAGCAGGAAAACTTCGGGATGTCTTGTCTGGCCTAGAGTCGTCTATCAAAGATGCCATGAGGAAGTTACCAACTCAGTTGTGGTTTTACGCCCGGAAGAAATAGAGATCGTTTCTGCAGTGAACACTTGGATCGGCAGGCAGCTAGGGGTTCTGGTTCCCCGTGGGCCTTTTACGATACTCTCACCAATAACCGGCTGACAAGGGTTCGTCCAAGGGCTTCTATTGTTCATTACGAGAAGTGAGTAATTTGTTTCCCATTCCATTTGCAGAATTGTGTTTTTCATTCCTCTATATTGTGGTGATAATTTACTGTGATAACTGATTAGGGTTAGGGTTGAGAGAGGGAGGAAGTAGATAGATTAATTAGGAAAAGCTATCTAAAATGTCATGGAATCATCTTCATTATAGCAATAGTAGTGATCTTAATGACATAGTACTCTAATCTCCAAGTTCACAATCAGATGTAACTGATTTTATTGATCCAATAGTGAACCCAACTGGCTGGAGGTACAGAGTACTATGATTTGTAGGGTTAGAGAGAGAGAGAGGAGGGAACTGAATGGAGGGTTGATGAGAGAGAGGGGGAGAACGAGGAAGGAGGTGATCGGCAGCAGGGGTGGAGACATATCGGAGGAGGTGGAGGCAGGGATGGAGAAGGTGGAGAGAAATATTCAGGAAAAAAGGTTGAGAGAGAAATGACAATTAAGGGCAAAATTGTCAATTCATGCAAAAAGGATAGTCAAGGTAATTAAGGCTGTATTCGACCAGTGTGTGTAATCAAGGTAAACCTCAAGGGGTGTGAGCGTAAATTTCCCTTTTAAAACTAGTTTAATGACTTGTGTTACCTACATTTTGTTCTTTGAGGTTTCCCTTATTTTAGTTTCTTCATAAAGATTAGTTATCTGATCTTTCAAATGGTAATTGGGGTATGCAGTTGTTTCCTATAGATATATTTATGAAATGCATGGTCCCATGGAGTTTGTTTGAAAGTATGATCTGAAAAACTACAAGAAATGGACCAATTAAATGCAAACAGTTCTACTTTCATAACAGTTAAAGATGTAATTTAAAGTTTTAGGGAATGACTTTGGTTCATTCTTTTGGGGTAATATGGTAAAAATCATGATATCTAAATTACATGTTCTACATTATAGTGCAGAAATATTGTCATTGTTATTTTGCTTTTTTGAATTTGATTAGATGTTGGTAATTGAAGAGAATAATTGTTTAAGAATTATTGTCCCTCTTAAAATTGTTAACCAACTGAATAAGCGGGCAAAGTAATTTCTCTTCCTTTGGAGTAAAAGTGTTATATGGTGGTTCACAGTTCCTTCTCCTTGTAAGTTGTAGTATTAGTATCTTTTATTGTCACTCCCTGAATTTTACATTTTTGTGCCTTCCTCTTCAATTCTGTTTTGCTTTTATGTTTCTTGCTCTTCAATTCATTTTCTTTGAACTTTTATCCTTCTTTCTTGCGCTCTTTTTGCCTTTTTCTTTCTTTTTGTAGTAGTAGTTTTTGCTTACCCCATTGATAAATTCTTAAACAAGACTACATAGGCACATGCTTTGTTCTTTTAACACCTCCTTTAACATCTGGTCAAATTTCTCCCAGTAATCACTATTAGATTTGAACACTGGACCATCTCTTTCTATTATCAGTAGTTAACCATCAATTCTTCTAGAACTTAAGACTATTATTCAAGAGACAAGTCCAAAAATATTTAAGAAGCTTTCTCACGTAACATCTAAGAATGATATATATATTTAAAGACAGGACCACCTTGTTCTATTATCAGAAGTTAATTATCAATTCTTCTAGGACATAAGACTTATTATATAAGAAAAAAGTCCAAAAATATTTAAGTAGCTTTCTCACTTGACATCTTTGAAGCTTATATAGACATTGTGAAAAACTCAATCACAATTAATGGGACAAAAAATATGATCACTATACTAGGTAAAAAGGGATTTGTACTGATGGTTCATTGGGTCTTAGTTTAGAGATGGTATAATCTCATTCTTTCCAAAGCAGAGTTTGAATGTTTGAGTTCGTGTGTGAGGAGGCCCCGGACGACATGGGCCGGATCCGACTTGCAAACACTACATTCAGTCCGTACAGCTGGGTCGGCCCATATAAAGACACTGCCATATGGGCCGAACGCGAGTAAGCCCATCAAAGGTGACCAGGACTTATGGAGGAATAGGCCCAGATCCAGCAATCAGTCAATATCTTGTAAATATCTTGTAAATATCTTGAAAATATCTATAAATAGGATAAGGAATAAAGAGGAGGGGGATCTTTTTGGTTGAGGTGTAAGAATTCTAGAGAGAGAAAGAGGGGAACGAATTTCTTGCATCTTCAATTGGCGCCGTCTGTGGGAAACGCATGGAAGTTTGGTTGATCAATGAAGTGGATTCAAACCAATTCGGTTGATCGAGACTCGATCTTTGGGATTTGAATCCAGATTTGAGCGATTGTGACCTATTCTGGAGGAATTACAATTCTTGAAGCTTTGGCAGGAGTGGCTTCAGATCTACGCAACAACGAGTTGTTCGATTGTGGCAGGATCTGACGGATTTAGAGTTCAGACAATTCAGATCTCGTAAACAGTGAGCATAATTCGGAGAATTAGAAGCCAGATCTAAAAATTCCTACTCACGAAGCTCGGATCTACTCGCGAACTTGAGATTAATGCCTTTACTCCGTTCAGGAATAATGATAGGTGAAAGCTCCAATCCGATGGAGGCTGTCCAGCAAACAAAGCTTGAGGAGTTGATGAACTTGATTGAAGCTCTCAAAAAAGAGAATGCAGAATTGAAAGCTGGAATGCAACATCGGCAAATACCTGCGGTTTCGCATCCACTTCCGGTCGGAGAAGGAGGTGTTCAATCTAATATCGCGCGTCAAGGCGAACAGGACGAGAACAATCAGTCAGCTCACCACCGTGATGAAAGGATGATGGACAATTTGCCGCCAAATGTTCGTCGAGTTGAAGATCATGAAGGATCGACTCACGTTGATCCGCATCGGGAACAGTTCGACCGAGAGGAAGTGATAGAGGTTGATCGCCGTCGAGTAGCGTCGCCTTGGCAAAGAGAGTTCATAGAGGAACGGTCGTTCGATCCGTCTTACCGGCCCTCCATGGTTACTATCACTCATCACGGTTCGGAGGGCAGAACCGTAACTCACAGAGCTACCGCTGGACTCCAGAGAGAGAATGAAGCTCTCCGATCCGCAGCTCGGACGGTGGATTCACCGTTCACCGACGAGATCTTGAATGCCCCGCATCCAAGGAAGTTTGCTATGCCAGTCTTTATTCTGTTCGACGGAACGACCGATCCGATCGATCATGTGTATCATATCCAGTTGAAAATGGCCCTGAATACGGAAAACGACTCTTTAATGTGCAAATGTTTCCCTACAAGCCTAGCCGGACCGGCGCTCAGCTGGTTCAAAAACTTGCCTAGGAGCTCCATTGGTAGCTTCAGAAACCTGTGCGATCGGTTCATAAGCCAGTACTATGGGAACAAGCGCCCGCCGAAGGACATCTCGAGCCTATTCACGATGAGGCAGCACAAGGATGAACGTCTCCAGGCTTTTCTTACCAGGTTTAATCTCACTAAGAGTATGGTGATCGAATGCCACCCTTCTACAGCAGTTCAAGCCTTCAAGTTAGCCATGACACGCGGAACTCCGTTTCACACCAGTCTGGTAGTGAACACGCCGACTACTATGGATGAACTCAATGAAAGAGCCGATGGCTTTGTGCGCCTAGAAGAAGAGGAGGCAGCTAATGCTCGGACAACGTCGCTTGTGTCGACCGAGGAAAAGTCCAAGGCAAAGATCAGGCAGAAGCAGGCTCAGCCGCAACGTCAGACCTCTTGGAAGGCAGAAAAAAGGTCCAGGGAGGAAGAGCTGATTACTCCGCTGAAGGTCACTCTGGCGAGGCTGTATCAGGAGAACAAAGATAAGTTTCATCCACCACTGCCAATTAGGCAACCCCTCGAACAGAGGGATCAAACTAAACATTGTGCTTTTCATTCTGATTTCGGTCATCAGACTAACGAATGCAGGAACCTGAGGAGGCAAGTGGAGATGTTGATAGCTAGAGGGGAGTTCGCGAGTTATGTTCAAGGTTCGGCGATGGAGCAGAGTCGACCGGTGGAACAAATAAAAAGGAGTCATAAACAAAGCTCCCACAATTCACAACCAGTTCGTATAATCAATGCTATCCATGGTCGACTCGAGCCTAGTGAAGAGTCAGATGAGCTGCTCCGGGCGCGCCTGCGGCAGGCGCAGATGAAGAAAAGGGTCGGCAGTGTGAATACTCTACACCAGCAGAGCCCGTCGATGCAGATAAAGTTCGACTGGACAGACCTGCAGCGTGTTCAACTGCCTCATGAAGACCCGTTGGTAGTCAGTTTGACAGTGGCAGATTGCTTGGTGCGCAGAGTTCTGATCGATCCTGGGAGCAGTGCGAATGTCATGCCGAGGGACACATTTGACAGGCTCGAGATTAAACCAGAGAGGCTCAAGCCCACTGGAAATCCCTTGTTAGGGTTTGATGGGAAGAGGGTGGAGCCCGTCGGGATGGTGGAAGTGGAAGTTCAAGTTGCAGAACGAGCTCTTATGGAAACTTTTGTGGTTGTGGAAATTCACCCCTCGTATAATCTCCTGATGGGAAGAGGATGGATTCACAGAGTCCAAGGTGTACCCTCAACTCTGCATCAGGTCATGAGGTGCCTCGGACCCGATGGAGATAAAGTGATAGACATTCGGGGGGATCAGGTTGCAGCCAAAGAGTGTTATTCCGTCACACTAAAGCATGCTGGGAAAGGAAAGGCGCCCGTCCGTTCGGCAAGCCCCAGATAGCAATTACAGGAACCTCCGCTCGAGCAGAATAGGGTGGAGGAGTCAGTCGACTTGACCGAGGAGTCCCTTCTGGATGTGCAGATCGATCAGTCCAGGCCAGAACGAACTACCAGAGTAGGTATAAGACTGACCAGAGGAGAGCAGCAAGAGTTAGTGGATTTCTTGTCCCACAATGCCGACGTATTTGCATGGAGTCACCTAGACATGCCTGGAATTAGTCCCTCCGTATCCTGTCATTCCCTGAATGTCAATCCCAATTTCAAACCAGTGAAACAGAAGCAGCGAAGATTTGCTCCAGAACGTAATCAGATCATAGCGGAAGAAGTCGATAGGCTGCTTGATGCGGGATTTATCAGAGAGGTGCA